CTTTGAGTGAACGGACGGGAATGTTACGATTTCTTGAATTTTCGTCGTCTAATTTCATTCAGAGTTCAATAAAATGAACGGGGCAAAAGTCATACAACAAGTTTTCGAAGGTTGGTGTAAAAGGAAGGCTTTAATCTTTGCATCTATCGTCGTAAGAAAAATATTTTTACGTACAATTTATAGTATATTTACGAGAAGAAAAGTATCTTCTCTTGTCCACCCTTTTTACATGGTATAAAAATGTTTTACAATAAAACGAGTAACATTGAAAGTGGAGGCTTTGAGATTTAAAATGAACTCAAGTTTATTATTGCGCGATTTCTTTTCACAAAATTCGAACAATTAATATTCAAATATCCAAATATTAATCGGATTCATTGTATTTTACAAGAAAATTTTGTACTTATAGTAACTCTTATTAATATTCGAATACTAAACACTGAAACTGTTGTAATTTTATAAAAAAAGCTTGATAATGAAATTTGTACATATTAATAAGTTAGTATAAATTAATAAAAAGTAAAGTTGATCAGTTTAGCTTTGAAGAGGTTCGTATATCTGTGAAATGAATACATTTTATACATCTCACCATATTTAACATTATCTTCTGCTAAAAAGTTTTACTTTAAGTACTGGAAAAATTAAATAATACTTTATACAATAAAGAATTTGTAAAGTTAACAATTGTAGCATAAAATATATATGGAATCTGAATATTATGATTATCTACGACAAGTACCGAATATTAAAAATAAAAAGTGTCCCTAAATTTTTGACTTGGAGCAATTAACGTAATAATATAATAACGTATGTATATTACAATATGGAAAGAGAGAAATAAGTCGAAGATCAATAATTTATAAATTAAAATGTCTTGTTTTCCTCTCACTAATAATTGCAGGTCCAACTGTAAACGCTTTTATATTAATCATTAGTTCCTCCTGCTTTCGAACAGAAAAATAAGTCCAAATTAAACGCTGCTTCAGACGGAAACAAACATATCCACCATCCAGGAAGATACTCCATGGGAAATCAACATTAATTTCTGTCGAATCACTTCTGGTATCATCTCCTAGATTTTTACGCTTTCATTTTTGATATTGTTATCGGACAAAGCGAGTCGGGATCTGTTTTCGAAGAACGAACATTCTCCGATCATTTATGAAGATCCGCGCTTTGTGAAAGTCCCAGTAATATTTATCTAGCAAATAATTGATTATCCTCGTAATTTCACGTTGTATTTGTCGATCGTGCAACGCGAACAAATATAATGAAATTCTTCTCGGCGGGACGGGATTTAATTGAAACGAAAAGCTCCTCGCGTCGTTCGAGATGCAATTGCGCGTGCTCCGATAAATTCATCCCGTTGGCACGTTCCCCGTGTAATCCGCGAATGTAAAACAAAAAAAAAAAAAAAAAAAAAAAAAAAAAAAACGAAGAAAGAAAAAAAAAAAACGGCGAAACTTCTCGCCCCGGCGAGAGTTATTAGCATTTTCATCGACACAAGCCGTGAGCGTTTTATCGATCGAATTGCCGACGATCGACGATCGGCGCGAGGCAAGCGCCGCTGTAACAAACGACCGGCCATTTTCAACTGTCGATGACTCTCTCGTTCTTCACGCGATTAATGCGAAACGCTCTCGAAGTGTTCCGCTCCGCGAGCTATTTTTTACGATTGAATTGCTCTTGCCGGATAGTCGATTAATCCTTTGGCCAGATAGGTCAATCGCAAAGCAGATATCGAATTCGAGTGGGGATATTTGTTGTGGCGGTAAATGCAAATTACTCGACGAATGCGTGATTCCTCTCATTCTCTCTCGCGTTGATTCGTAAGCTTAAACTTGAACGCTGTCGCGATGACTCTCGAATAATTTCGAGAAAGCTGTTGGAGATCAAGTACTGTTCTCTTGCCACTTGCGCTGGCAACTGGATTGCGGACCATAACGAGTGACCAAACCCGATAATTCGTCGGATTTCTTTTTTGAATCTTGTCGGTGCGATGTCACTGGATAGAAATGATTTATTATTTGTTTTACTTAGATATACTTAAAGCTGAGAAAATTTGGAATTGGACGGACGTGGAATTGTTGACGTGCGTGGCAGCGCACGAGATTAAAGTTAGAGATTTTTTTGTGTTTCTTAATGAAATTTAAGAGAGCTGTCTCCGGTTTATCGGTGACACTCTTCAACTGGAATTTCGCGATTCTCAATTGCATCGACAGCTGAGGATAGTGAAGATACCTGCTCGATACAGTGTAAGTAAAACTCGAGTGTCTGTTGCGTACGTCTGAATCTACTTAACTTTCACACTGCGACGAATCGATTTCTGCAGTGTATTCATTCGTCATGGTTTTCGAACTCATGTCACGTGTCACTGAAATTTATTACTTTTCTTCGTGTGGAGAATTGAATCTCGAAAGAAAAAGAAATTTTCTTACGATATACTGGCGTTTAAAATCAAGGAATCGCTTAATTTTCGATGAAAAATTATTGTAACTCATGCTTGTGAAAAAGCATGAAGCTTCTACTTTCACAATCCGAAGTTATAACAGTTTCATTATGGACGAAACTTCACCAGTATATAGATATTTCTTGAATAATTTGAACAATCCTTCGTTGAATTTATTTGAAACATCAGTGCACAGATCGAATGACAAATAACTCGAGAAATTCATAGTCGAATCATTTGTTCTCGAGACGAATACTAATAGTATCGAGCGAGAGTGTGTGTTAATTTACAACTGTTTATTGTACATCGATACGTTCATCTCTCTGAAATACCCGCAATGAATTTGATCGTACGTGGTTGGCGAATACACACTCGAACCAGCAGCGTGCTGAACACCGAGACCGGTCATCACTCACAATCAACAGTTTGCAAAATCAATGTTTGTCGCGCAGATCCGCGTAGAGACACGGGAAAATCGATTCCCCGTGGGTTTATCTCACAATTCAAGCCTGTCCTTTGTTCTTATCCATCAGCCTCCCGTGAGTCGCGAATGTAAAATTCCATGTAGCCAATCCGATCGAGGGAAATTCAAATGTAAATGCTGCCACGCGGAGAGCGTTTCGTTATTGAGATCGGGCCGAAAATTTTCTGCAACGCTCGTTTTTTCGCGGTGTCGCCTAACGCTTAACAGACACTGGTGCTGCTCGTTAATTACATCTCCGCTCAGCTTCTGGTAATTGAGTTCGGAGAAACGCGATGTAATTTTATCGCGTCTCGAGGTAGCGTCGCGAGCCGAGTTAACGTCGCGACGGTTTTGTTTCGTATGCAGATTGCGCGAGGCGAGCGGGAGCTCGCCCTCTAGGCAATTTATTTTATCGCCTCGCGTCTAATTGGAGTTAATGGCTTTCCGTGTTGCGGGTCCGGACCGGGTTCGTTTCGTCGGTCGTTCTGTATTTCGGGAAGTTCGACAGATGAAATTTCGATCGGTGTCCGGGAACTGTCTTGCTTGACGCTGGATGAAATATTGGGAATTTGTTTTGCCACGGTGGGACCCTTTCATACATCCGAACAGCCACATTGTTCGAATAACCTAACATTTAACAGATTATAAACACCGTCTTTTTAAATGTTTCAGAGATCGACGAAATTTATATTTAATTTGTAAGTCAAATAAAAATTGAAAACATACAGGGTGATTCACGTCACTCGCACACCTGAAATAACTTTTAAATTATGCGCCTAATGGGAAATTTTTCGACACAGACATTGTATATTGGTTTTAAAGGAGGCAAAGTTAATGAACAGTTAATAAACATTCTACTTGATCTATGTGTAGATTTCACTGCATTTTCGTCCAAAGTATCTCTAGTATCTTGCAAACGCGATTCATGAAAGGCCAACTATTCTAACTATTCTGATCAATAGATTTCTCAATCTACGTCTACATTAACACGAAATACGCTTTATCGCATGGCGTTAGAATATTTTTACCAGCTTTCTTTTTAAGGAAAAAGAACTGCGTGAATTGTTTATTCCCCGACAAATAGAATTTCATTATTTCGTTTTTCATGATAAACAATCAATATCAGTTATCACAGGTAAACATAAATCAATTATCTGTAGCTTGCTAGTAAGGATATTTATCACTTGTTGCGTTAGTCTATATTATATAAACATGCTATTTTATTTTTGTCTATGCAGGGTGTTCGAGAACAAGTGGGGCAATCGAATAGGAGGCAAGAAAACGAGTTGAAGGGAAAGAAAAATTATCAAATTTTCGTACTCGAGAGAGAATCGAGTTTGAAGATTCAAGTATACTTGAACTTTTATCAAAGAGCAAGAAAATTTTTGGTATAATTAGCAAATTTCTCTAAAAAGATTAAAAGGCCGCCATATCACTTTATTTTAATGATTCAATGTTCAATTGTAAAAAAAATTAAATTAACGTTCAATTGTAAATTAATATAATAGGATATCTAATGCTAGTTTATTATTCAATTTTAATATATATATATTAATATAAAAATTTGTACTATAAATATTAATTTAAATTTCACCTAAAATTAATAAATTTAATATAACAATTATTTTTACTATAATAAAATTTATAAATTATAATATAAATATAATATAAATTTAACCTAGCTATTGTTGGGACTTTAATTTATCATTATTAATTTCAATTCCCTTATTCAATTTTCATTAAATTATATGGAATTTTTTATTAATTTTATTATATATATATATATATATATATATATATATATATATATATATATATTTAGTATTAATAAATTATATATCAAATATTAATTTTAGTAGGTGTTTTGACAGACAGATGGTTAAAAAATGTGAGGAAACTTTTAAAAAAATTATCACGTTAAAGCTCAGAGAGAAGGAAATAAATTTCCAATTTTTCTTTTCACCGCTCCAGAGAAGAAAATAAATTTCCAATTTTCTTTTCGCCGCTCCAGAGAAGAAAATAGATTACCAATTTTCTTTTCGCAGCGAGGGTTTAATTTTGAAGCGAAAGTAGACAACGTTTACTCACTTTGCAAGCAGTCGGCGTTCAGCAGGTCCTTGCACTTCTCGTGGCACTTGACACCGCACTCGGTACAGCGCACCCCTTGCCGAGCGATACCCCAGAGAAGACCCTCGCACTCGTAGCAGTAGGTCGGCGACGTGGCGGTCCAGGTGACGAATTTGTGCGGCGTCGTCGAGGAGATTGGGTAAATCATCGCCTGCAGCGTTTTCTTGTACACGTGCATCTTCTGCGGGTGCGGCAGCGTGTTTCACAATCAAACGTTAGAAACGACGTATCGAAAGCTCGTGGCAGGGGGTCGTGTCGGACAATCTTTATTTGCAGGGATCATTCCAACGACCTCGACTCTGTTGCTCGTTTGTCAAATTGTCCGGTTTCGTCTGAGAGGAACGCTCAAACGTTTTTCGTGAAAAATTTATCTCTTTCGTAATTGGCGTTCAATTGATTGGTTTTGATAATTTCGACACGATTTTGATATTTACGACAAAATGTGTTTGGCGATTTTTATGGAATTTTACTCTTTACTCTTTCCGGAATATTTTGACTAGAATTTTGATCACTTTTATGGAAACTACGGAGATTTAATATTTTTTTTTTTTTGGTGGAATTATCCTCCAACAAGTTCTTTACTTGTCAATGAATATTTTCCGAATTTCCCTATTTCGTTTGATTCAATTCCATTCAATTTCAACAGGAGAAAGAAGACTCGGTTACTAAAGAGATGACTACCCTCTTTAAACGACTAATCTACGAGCATACAGGACGGTTTGCGAAACACTACGCCCATGCAATCAAACGTGTAAAAGCAACCGGACCTCTCAGGAGGCCACAAATTGAAATCAATCTCATCTACGATTCTTCCTTCGTGAAAAAACAAAAAAANTTCTGCAACCGCGTTTGCCTTCCTTCGTTTCAATCTACTTCAGTCATCCTATTGTTCCTATCGTTCCTATCGTGAAAAAAAAAAAAAGAGACTCACCTCATGAAACTCTTGCCTCAGTCTCATGCAAGGTATCAAAGGTATTCACTCTCTATATTGTGTGTATTGTCACGCTTGTCATTCATACAAACGATACGCTAGCGCTTGTACATAATTACGCGTACAATCATAACGTGCCAGAGGGAATTGGTGCCTGGCGAGACCTAATTACATACGCAATCCTGTGTACACAGATTAAACAAAGGGGAAGGAGAGTGGGCGGAATCTCTGAGGGGTGGTGGTGATAGTGGTGGTGATTCTGGGTATTTAATCGGGTGTGCGAGATTCGCAAGGATTTCCACGTTCGATGTACGATTTGCTTTGCCCGCGTCGTATCGCTGGTGGTATAGTCCTTCCGAATCTCCTCTCTAACCAGGGGGCTAACGTTGCGTGGCGCAAGCCAGATTACGGGGTGGTTACTCTTTAAACTGTTGCACACGTGTGCCTGCGCACACGCTTGCGCTGCCTCTGCTGATTGCGCTTTGATATCGAAACGCGAAGAGGAGGGAAATATATTGGGTTTATTCTTTCAGAAAATATTGTTAACACGTTGATTGTCACGCGAGATTTATAACTTTAGTAAAGAAATTTATACTTTGATTTGTTTGTGAAACGAAAGTTGATTTTTATACAATATTATATCATTATCAAGTATAAAGTATCGTTTATTTAGTATGTATCTATTTAGTATTTATATCATATTTAAAGTGGAATAAAATTTAGGGATAATTGTCGATGACGATAAAAAATTGTCAATAATTGAAATTGATGTAACTTCCTAAAAAAAAAAAAAAAATCATATTACAATTATAATCACTCGGTTTCATTTTAAAACGTGAAGCTTCTATTTTGACAATTGCGTGTTTATTTCTTTCGAAGATGGTGTTATCGTGTGAAAGTGAAAATACATTTTTTTCTCTGAAAAATAGTAAGAATTCAGGCGCGCGAGGAAGCATTAAAGAAATTCTTTTCGTCACTGTGTCTCGAAGATTGAAGCCTCCTCTTTGCAACAACTTCTTGAAACCTGTTGTACGATTTTTATTCGCCATTTTATTGAATTTGACACACATCAGGGTTTCAATCAACTTTAATATTCAACGTTCAAAAAAAATGGTGAAGAAAACTCGTACAAGTTTCAAGAGAAGACTTCAATTTTCAAGATGACGATAGATGTAGTTATACTCTACATACATGTTATTTTATTTTAATTATTCTGACGATCAACGTGTTAAATTCACATAAGAAAGACGAAGACACTGTTACTGAAGGAATTATAGATTCAATGAAATTCAAGAAATTAATTGTTTTCAAAATCTTCACCGCAAAAATTAGTTCCCTTCTCCAAAAGAAAATTCTTCAACTCTACTCATTTCCAATCCCAAGCTAAAAAGAATTATCTATTTAAAGAAATGATCAAAGCACCAGCATTAGTAAAACATTACGTTACAAAAGGCATTTGGAACCCACTTGAATCAAAGAGAATACGTTACTCTGTAAAAAAAAAAGAAAAAAAGAAGAAATCTATTGGTAGATTTTTAGTAGATTGGTAGATTTTTATTTTCCGGTGCATTTTCATATTCGACGTGCAGAGGCAGCGCGTCGGTTCGTGAAATCGGCGCAGTCGATTCAGAATGGGACGCTACAGGGAGTCACTGGGTTACTGGATCTATTTCATCCGCGTCTGCAGAAATAAACGGGCGCGAGGTGATCGTCGATCAGCGAAGATCCCTTCGTCCCCGTTCTTCCCTTCTTCGAATTTTGTATCTTTCTCTCGTATCGACACTTCGAAAGTACTTCCTGTCGGATGATCGACAAACGGAACGTTATTGGCATTTTTTTTTTTCTTTTCTCCCCTCCCCGCCTCGCCGAGGGAAAAACAGCAGCACTTTTCCTATCGATTCGATGAAATGTTTGCTTCTTTTCTTTTTTTTTTTTTTTTTTTTTTTTT